TATTATCTCGAGAATCACAAATTCTATAAAGCTGAAATTTTAGGGTAGTGACCCCCTGCCCACGCTTGCCTATTCCAGTTCAGCGTTCCCGCGCTCTCAGGTACCACTTACGGCCTCGTGAAGATTTTGGCGGGTACACTGTTAACTCGGGAATCACGGAAAGATATTCACCCTTCAATATTTCGAATTCAGCTTTCATGCGCATGCGCGTGAAATTTCTAAATATTTTTCAATGTTTCAACTATTTCTGCATAGACTAAAGCACAACGCAGTAAAAATCATTAGTAGGCAATCGTTCGATGGACTGAATCGCACAAAACGCATGATCACACCGGCTAGTCTGGTGCTCGTTGCTGTTTATTTAATACCCTTATCCGTCGGCTGCAATAAGTCGTATCAAAATCTTAAAAGTGTCCAGACCATTGCTCTACTCTCAGATCCCAGTTATGGAGTATTTTTCAGAGAAAAAGAAAAATTTCGGGTGTATATAATGCTGCCATTGCTTCCCGGTTTTGAAGGTGATATTGGCGCACCTGGTGGTTCAGCACTACAGGCAGTTCTGTCCTGGACCTACAAGTCACTTTCACGAGGACCGGGCTCGCTGATTGAGAATTTGAAGCGGGCAATTCCTGATCCAATGGAATATATTCATATTGGCTCTTTGCGTACTTACAACACTCTCTCTGGCAAGTTGGTGAGTGTTTTTTGTGTAAATCTGATGAACAGTTTTTTGAATTCAGTTGCCCTACAGCGAAAAACGTCAAATATCCCTCTGTTGCTTGTTTTCTGTTGATTTGCAACATTAATATGATGTATAGTTGAGTTTTAGCTGACTGAATTAATTTACATACACTGTAAATTGATGATTGTGGACGACAGATATGTGATCATTGGTTCAGCAAATATCAACGATCGTTCGCAGGCCGGCAACAGAGATTCCGAGGTGCTCCCTCTTTCAGTTCTCCACTTTTTTTTGTAAAATGTCTGTGTTTTGCACATTCTTTCTTAAAAAATAAGAGGTTGCAGCTTT